AGCCCGATCTCCTTGCTAGTGTAGGTTTGACAGCACGCTGAACAAGACGCCTCTGTGGTTTTCGTAAAAATGGAAAAGCAGGAAAATCGTGCTGTCATCAAATACTTTTATTTGAAGGGGTTAACGCCGAAGGAAATTAAAAAAGAGATGGACTCAACACTGGGGACATCCTCCCCGTCATATTCAACCGTTAAGCAGTGGGTTTCCGAGTTTAAAAAGGGTCGTGTGAGCACCTCTGATGGGCCTCGCTCAGGACGCCCCGTTGAGGTCACAACTCCAGATATGATCGAAAAAATTCATCAAATAGTGCTGGGAGACCGCAGATTGAAAGTGCGTGAGATAGCTGAGACCTGTAAGATGTCATATGAACGTGTGCAACATATTTTGCACCAACATTTGCATATGGAAAAGCTCTGTGCAAGATGGGTGCCGCGTTTGCTAACAGTCGACCAAAAATTGATTCGAAAAAACATTTCTACCGCAAATTTGTCATTGTATAAGCGTAATCCAAGCGAATTTTTGCGTCGATTCGTAACCGTTGACGAAACGTGGGTCCACCACTACACTCCTGAAACCAAAGAACAGTCTAAACAGTGGATTGGACCAGGGGAACCAACTCCAAAGAAGGCAAAAACAATTTTTTCGGCGAACAAGGTTATGGCTACTGTTTTTTGGGATGCAAGAGGTATTATATACATTGATTACCTTGCAAAGGGTAATACTATCACTGGTCAATACTACGCAGACTTATTGCAACGTTTGAGCCACGAGGTGAAAATTAAACGACCTCATCTGGCGAAGAAAAAAATCTTGTTTCATCACGATAACGCACCAGCGCACACGTCAATCGTTGCGACGGCTAAAATCAACGATCTAAAGTTTGAATTGATGCCGCACCCTCCTTACTCTCCAGACCTAGCCCCGAGTGACTATTTTCTGTTCCCTAATCTCAAAAAATGGCTTGGCGGTAAGAGATTTGCGGACAATGAAGAAGTAATCGAAGCTGTAAATGGTTATTTTGAGGAGCTTGACGAATCAGTCTATAGAGATGGCATTAATAGACTGGAACACCGCTATGAGAAATGTATCAGCCTTGGAGGAGATTATGTTGAGAAATAAAAAAAAAAAATTTTTAAAAACCTTGTTTTTCTTGGTCAGGCCGGAAACTTATCAATCCACCCTCGTATATTGTATGCCAACAACAAAATTTTCTTTCACGAGAAGATCAAAGAACGTTCCGATCTGATTAGCCGCTTGCATCTCGACGATTATTTTCTTAATGAAGTAGGAATACTTGGTTTGCGCTGCTATTTAACAATAAGCCAGTTAAATGATAGTGACTTAACCAAACATTATCGCGTTAGCCTTTTATACATATTAGTAAGTGGTTGTGCACACTCAGTATCTTGCAAAGCTGTTATTCTTTTTAAACTGTTTCAAATGAAACAAATTTGATTTCTTAAAAATAAACGTAAAATTACATGCATTATATGTTCGTAAACTATTCGCTTAAAATAATCCGAAGAACGATATATTTCAAAGCTAAGGTAAAAAAAAGAAGTTGTACCTAGTTAGAATTATGCGAATTATGTCTGTATTTTAAAATTTAGCTCAATTTATTTTTGTGGTGAAGGTGCAGTTTGTTCTTAGGGGGAATTTACTACTGTATTATCGGAATTTAATTGCCACATCTCGTAATTAAAAAGTACAACTTTTGGGTGTTTCATTGACACTAGACACTAATGCTGATGGGCGGGTAGTCCCTCCCGACTGTGCCGGAAGGAAAGTCGGAGGACCCTCTTCAGCCTCCTTTCAGGAATTGTGGGAATGGGTGGGTGGTGGTTCGGATGAGAAATATGAGATGGACGAAATGAAGACAGAAGGGTATAAAAGACTATCTGTGGAATATTACTGCCCAAGTGATTCAAGGAAACCACAGAAAAACTTGGATCATGGCAAACGGACCCGGAATCGATCAGGCGTCCTTTCGAATGCTAAGCAATGGTCTAAACCTCTAGGTCGTGCCGCTCGGTACATCTCGTACATCATTTCTCAATATTTATAAGCATTCCACTTTCTCATGATTTATTGTTAGACAGCCCATTTATTACGTGTTTTTGGTTTATGTCGTGCAAGCTTTGTTTATAAGTTTCCCAGTACTTGCTACAAGGATCTATTTGCATTTTTATTATTTTAGTTTAACAGTAATCTAATCTAGGGCTACCTCTACCCCTCCTAACTTCCGTTCTGCCCGTTTCTTATTGACATCCATAGAGTCCTCTATTCTCATATTCTTTCTAATACCTCTTCATTTCTAACTTTCTCTATCCACGGTATCCTCATCATTCGCCTATAACACCACATTTCGAACACTTCTAACCTTTTCTGTTCCGCTGCGCATACTGTCCATGTTTCGCACCTACGAGGGTGGATTGATAAGTTTCCGGCCTGACCAAGAAAAACAAGGTTTTAAAAAATTTTTTTTTTTTATTTCTCAACATAATCTCCTCCAAGGCTGATACATTTCTCATAGCGGTGTTCCAGTCTATTAATGCCATCTCTATAGACTGATTCGTCAAGCTCCTCAAAATAACCATTTACAGCTTCGATTACTTCTTCATTGTCCGCAAATCTCTTACCGCCAAGCCATTTTTTGAGATTAGGGAACAGAAAATAGTCACTCGGGGCTAGGTCTGGAGAGTAAGGAGGGTGCGGCATCAATTCAAACTTTAGATCGTTGATTTTAGCCGTCGCAACGATTGACGTGTGCGCTGGTGCGTTATCGTGATGAAACAAGATTTTTTTCTTCGCCAGATGAGGTCGTTTAATTTTCACCTCGTGGCTCAAACGTTGCAATAAGTCTGCGTAGTATTGACCAGTGATAGTATTACCCTTTGCAAGGTAATCAATGTATATAATACCTCTTGCATCCCAAAAAACAGTAGCCATAACCTTGTTCGCCGAAAAAATTGTTTTTGCCTTCTTTGGAGTTGGTTCCCCTGGTCCAATCCACTGTTTAGACTGTTCTTTGGTTTCAGGAGTGTAGTGGTGGACCCACGTTTCGTCAACGGTTACGAATCGACGCAAAAATTCGCTTGGATTACGCTTATACAATGACAAATTTGCGGTAGAAATGTTTTTTCGAATCAATTTTTGGTCGACTGTTAGCAAACGCGGCACCCATCTTGCACAGAGCTTTTCCATATGCAAATGTTGGTGCAAAATATGTTGCACACGTTCATATGACATCTTACAGGTCTCAGCTATCTCACGCACTTTCAATCTGCGGTCTCCCAGCACTATTTGATGAATTTTTTCGATCATATCTGGAGTTGTGACCTCAACGGGGCGTCCTGAGCGAGGCCCATCAGAGGTGCTCACACGACCCTTTTTAAACTCGGAAACCCACTGCTTAACGGTTGAATATGACGGGGAGGATGTCCCCAGTGTTGAGTCCATCTCTTTTTTAATTTCCTTCGGCGTTAACCCCTTCAAATAAAAGTATTTGATGACAGCACGATTTTCCTGCTTTTCCATTTTTACGAAAACCACAGAGGCGTCTTGTTCAGCGTGCTGTCAAACCTACACTAGCAAGGAGATCGGGCTGAAACTATAGCTACAAGCTATCCAAGGATGGTACTATAGAATGTCACCTCAAGGTAGGCCTAGTGGCGTCATCTCTTGGTTAGGCCGGAAACTTATCAATCCACCCTCGTATACAGCGAAAGATACAGCCTTTTTCGAATTTCTAAATTAACCGTTGTATATTTATATCACGCAAGGTTCGAAATACTCGAATGTTGCAAGTTGAATGAATCATCGTTGTTTGCTGCTTGCAGAAGGGTCGCGGGACAGAGCCCTTTGATATTAAATTTGAAAGAACTAATCAAATCACGAATAAAATCGACTTTGTGGCGTCCGAAATTGGCTAAGCGCGTCCAACGTCTTTAAATTGCCGCCGTGACATTTACTATATATTTGCTATAGATATGAAATAGCGAGACGATGTACAACAACAGGAAGTACTTAATTTAGCTTAAATATTTTATAAGTTGAAAATATACTTTTTTGGGTCAGAAAAGACTAATCCCTTAGCAATAAATCAATCAGAGACATATTAGAGGCAGAAACGGAAGTTAGGAGGGGTAGAGGTAAACCTAGATTAGATTACTGTTCGCAAATAGTTAAGGATACGGGTTGTTCTACATTTAGGGAAATAGGAAGATTAGCTCAGGATAGAAAAGAGTGGAGGTGCGTGTCCAACCAGTCTTAGGACTGACGACCTTATGATGATGATGATGATGTGTTTTTACTCGTTAGTGTTCTGTTCCTGAAGGATTTTATGGAACCCTATTGTTGTGGCAACATTGTCCATTGGTCTGTTAAAAACTTTCAACGAAATGAAATAACGAACTAAAATCTCATACAACATAAACCGTTGATCCAAAGATGAAACTTCAGTAAACCTACGCATGTATGTGATTTTAGCACGCATTTGCCGTGTAAAATCGTGTATACACTTTTTATTCGTTTAAAAACGTGTTAATTATTAATATGCGGAAAGTGTGTAAAAAGAACACATTTAATGGGTGTATTTTGAATATACGAAATGTGTATAATGTGCACGATGCGTATGTCTGCCATTTACTATGGATTTATACACGAAAACGATAAAACTTGAAACGTTATCACTGTTACTGTATCAAATGTGTTTAATTATTATTAGGTTTTATTTGTACGTATTTTTACCAATTTCGTTTCTTGAAATGTTAGAATTATTGAAAATGTAGAATTCTGACAATTTTCAAAAAGCTATCAAAAAAATAAACAAATGTTTTACGAAGTTGTATATTTATTTTAACCACTTTTGTGTAGTTTGATTAATTACCTTGTCTTTTATCACTTATCAGTAATCTAATGTGAATGAATAGATTTAAGGTCATTGAGTAAGTACAAAATAAACAGTTATTCTTACTTTAATTCAGAGTGTATTCTACAATCTTTTTAGTCGTATTCCATATCGAATATAGTAAATTTAGATACTGAAATTTATAATCACAAATTTGTTTTGTAATTCTAAACGTTACACTTATTTTAAATGTGGCAGGCTGAGGGACTTCACTCGCGCGCTTTGGCAGCGGTTGATTAGCACAAAATCAGTATGAGGCCACCTATCTTTCTATATATATATATATACATCTTGTGAATTGTTGATCTTTTTGTAGATATTAATGCAGTTTATTGCGGGCCGCATATTATTATTGTAATAAGTTAAGAGTCACATGTGCGTTACCGTTCGTTTGTTTGTATTTGCTATTTTGGGTTTTAGTAAATGAACAATTATCTTAACTTTTATTAAATTTATAAATGGACGAACAACGAAACGCTTTTAAAACGGTAAGTACCAATAGTTTTAAAAAAGTCAGAGTTTTCGGAGAAATTGTTAAAAAATATGCGCTTTTCTAACAGATTTGTGTTTGAGAGCCGATCGCTCATTCTATAACGTTTTCATTCTATTGTATTCCATTCTGCTCTACATCAACTGTTATTGAAAAAGGAAACAATAATCAGTTGAAGGGAACGTTATTAAAGTTTAAAAGTTTTAGTCCAATGGTACGTCAGAAGAAGTAACGAAGTGATGAAAGATTCTCCAAGTGTTCAAGCGTATAAGAGAATAACAGACTTCAGTTTTATCAAATTTACCTACACGGAGAAAATGAAAAAGGAAAGTTTACTTAAATATTAAAGCAATATTTACAATTTATTCCACTAGCCCGTTGCTTCGTAAGCGAAAATAATAAAAATTACAATTTGGACCCGAATTTGTAAAAATAAAATCCCAGCAGAAATAAATTTGCTAGGTATTTTAATTGATATTACAAATTTAATTGTAATAATTAAGAAACTTGAAATAATATTTAAAAATGCATGCCAAAATTAAGATTATTACAAGTTAGCTAGTAAATTTTACCATTTCTACGACAAATTCAGTCATCTACAATCGAAAATTGTAACTATTGCGTAGTCATAAAAAATTTAGTTTTCTCGGTATGTTTTAAAATTGTGTTTTGATTATATAGTAACTACCTACAGTATCATTTTTATTTATCGTAAAAATAATGGCGTGGGGTCATAAATTCTACCGCCGTGCACAATAGCCCATAGTCGTGGTTTGGAAACTTAAGACAGACAAGATGAATGCTGTTTAACAATGAAAAACTATCTGTGAAATATTACTGCTCCAGCATTTGCCTACACGATGTAACTAATAAAGAAAAATTTCAGCCATGTTAGGCGATTCAGAATTAAATAGATGTGATGGTGGGTGTCAACTAGGATCCAGCCAGTAGATCTTGATACTTGGACCATACTTTGGATGCTGAAGATATTGAAATTGTACTTTTAAGATAATAGAGGGTTCACATAATAATTCAAATGTTGAAATTTCGGTAGGTGGAAATGTTAATTCTTTACTTCATTAATCATTTGAATTTCTCTCGTCAGTGGTAGTTAAGGCCGAAACAGACATGTCCAGATTCGATTAGTTCGATTAGAAACGAGTAGACTAAAACACTAAATCCTTTGATTTTTCTGAAAAACCACCACCTCAATTTTGGCTTCATATCAAACCACTTACTCTAGGATTTTGGAGTTTATAGTAAAGGTGGCGTATGAGAACTAAACATTTAATTAAGACTAATGCCCGAAAAAACTGATACTCCGTCAGTGTGGAAATTTGTTATTTGTTATGACGAAAGATTAAAAGTGTTTACCTGAACAGCACTCTATTTGTTCAATTAAATAACTCGTCGTTTTATCGCTGATTAGTGGCTGATTACTGTAATCACTCACAGATGGGTAAATATTTGATTATCATACTGTTATTTTTCCACCGTTAAACAGGCATTATATCATGTTTGCTAAAAAAATGTGATAGCAAACAATAACATTTGAACGAATAAAGCAGTTTAACAGTTCAGAATAACTCGATCCGTTTAATTAATTATTACATTTAATCGCTTGAAGAATATTTAAAGAGATGCCCTTGGATCCAGTGGAAGCAAAACTCAAAACCTATAATTCTAAGATAAACGCAAGTCATCGAAGTTTAATTTCAAAGTTTTTACATTCACAGGAATAAAAGAACAAATTAGGAAAACCGAAAATAAGTCCCTTTTCTGAAAAAGGTTGGGACATTTTGCTATCATGCAATTCAATTTTTTAGGTGACTTCGAGATCTCCTATATGCAGATGGGATTGCACGTTCTTTACGAGACACTGCTTTTACTGTTAAAATAGGTACATAAAAAATAAGTCAAGGAAGATTATAATTTAAAATGGTCCAAAAGTTGAAAAATTAAAGTATTCCTTGTAAATTCTTTTACGGCAACATTCCTATCTCGCAAGTAAATACGTAATGAATTCGTAACAAAAAGCATCTTTGATTTCGTGTTTCAATTTTTTCGAAATGCTACTTTTGGATGTAGAGTAGGGATAAAAAATTATTCAGCAATCAAAGGTGAATATTAGGTTCCAAGAAAAATTTAAGGCGGATAAAGTGGAAACGAGCGACATATAATTTAATGTATGCAGGATTCTAACAACTTTCCGAGTTTTCAGAGAAAATCTTTCACTGTTAATTTATCTTATAAATGTAATTCTCCTTAAATGTGAATAGTTTAGAATCCTTAGTTCAGTCTCCCAAGCATTGGAAGTGATAGAGAGATTACCCATCAACTCGAAACAATAATGAGGATGAAAACCAATGGCAGTTATTAAGCAAGGGGCAAGATAACGATGTCCTTCGGTAAGGAAGGTAAAGTGGGCGCCCCATTTTATGGAGAATTTACACGATTTATCATATTTGCAGACGATATAGCAGCACTATTCCATAACATAAATGATTTATCGGAACTTCTGGAAATAGTGAATAATACATTTAAGGACTTCGGATTAAAGATGAGCATCAACTGAACCACAATTTTGACGGGAATAGAACAAACAAAATAGCTCAAACCCCAACGCCAAAACACGACACTGTAGTTGTCCGAAGCACTTTTCGGTGAAAGTTCACTTCAGTCCCTGAAGAAGGTAACTTTGTTACAGAAAAGTGCTTTGGACAATTACAGTGTCGTGTTTTGGCGTTGGTGTTTGAGCTATTTTGTTTGCACTACAACAACCGCCAAAATTTTTCCAATCTGCATATTTCGATGGGAATGTCTGCACAAATATTTATTACCTCAACAATATTGTTTTTGCAGATATGACCTCTCAAGAGTACAAAATTAGTATTAAGAATTGATTTGGGAAAGTACAGGGCGTTTCTGAAATAAGTAGAAAGATTTGGAGAATGTTTACTAGAAGCAAGAGAGAATCGCATGGTCAGTAAAGAAGTGTGATTAAGGAACAAAAAAAAAATGGAAGGAAACTAGACAACGTTGCAATCTGAAGCCTGCCCTGTGCATGAATTGGTAACGTTTAGAGAGAACTGAGCAACTACGTCGATGAAAAGTGTAAACAGTGACGGTTAGTAATAATAAAGTATATATTTATCAACAGCTTACTACCACCGTACTACACATGATAATCTTTAAGCGCCCATTAGCAATAAAAATTCCTTAAATAACTACTTATGCAGTACTATTTAAAGTACGCACTGACATGGCATTAAGGACCCAAAGAAACATACGTACGTATGCTGCAAAAATTACTACACTACTAAGTTGCGCAAAAACGTCCACGTTGGCGTACTGCATTTCCACTAATCATATACGATCATGCAAATTTTTAACATTCTGAAATGGCATTGAAACTAAAATGAATTCAGATTAGGACTACGCTCCGGTCATGGTCAAAGGACCCATGCATACATCCAATCCATCGTCTAGGAAAATGTTTATCTAGAAATTATCGCATTGAGATATTGACCTACTTCTAATGATTTCGAGTGTCTAACTACATATGTAATACAAGCTTACAACGTTAAAAGAATAAAAAGCTACTCTAGACTGGCTGTAAACAACATAACACTTAATCTAATCTGATAAATAACAAATAATATATGAATACAAGAATACAAAAGAAATACAACACGGATGCTGTTAAGTAACAGCTGATTGAATGCAGCGTTGCAGTGTCGTATTTCCTTCCGGACTGACCCTTAGTTGTACTTTTAAATATGTTTTTCTCGAAAACGGTGTACTTTCTGGCTACCTACAAAATTTACTTGATTTTGTTTTTTTATACTGGGCTATCAGCTCCTGTAAGCTTGCTGCTTATATCAGAAACACCCTGTATAATGTAAGGACGAATCGAAGATTAGTTGAAGCTAAAGAATGACTGATGTTTTTATTTAATCATCCTTTTTGAAACCGACAAGGTTGTGTTAAGAAAATGGATTCATAGCATGCAATGTTTTATAAGAAGTATAAAATTCTGTAGTGCATTTCTATGACTGAAATATTGAAACAAAAAATCAATTCCAAGAAGTACTTACTATTCATTTTAAGCTTTCTTTATTTTATTTCTTGTAAAGCATTGTTACTTATCACGGTTGATGAAAAATTATGGAAGTTTAAGGAGTTTCTGTCTTTTTGGATTGAAAGAAACCCAGCCATTAAGAGAGGATACGTATAAAACTTTTGAAAGAAGTTTTAATAAGGGAAAGAAGAACGTAATAAAGGACACCAATCAATCAAAATTTAGACAAAAAAAAGATCGATTATGAATGGATCTTATATTATCTCATTATTATTTGTAGACTACTGAAATTATCTGTATCCTGTCCCAAATTTAAGCCACATCTGTTACTTAAAGTTTCTTTTTTGTATCTTATTTTCTTCGTAATTAGTGAACATGCTTCTATATTTACGTTATTTACTCTTGCTTTACCATTAAAAGAAACTGAAATGAATTTTTCCATGTATCAAGGAGCATAAGAGGGTAAAAAATTATTTATGAGAACATTGTCAAAGAACAGATCTATATCCTGTTACAATATTGCAAGTAACGGTAATGTATCATATAAACAAACTGACAGAGTTAGCAAAGATTACTATACAAAAAGGTGCAAAATTAAATATAAACTATATCAATATTTCAATATTCCTATCAAATTCGAGCTTTCCATAAAAAATTATAAATTTAGATAACAAGTTTTGACATGCCAATATTGTTTCTAAGATATTTAAATTTGTCTTTGGGCACAGTTTTTGTAAAAAAATCAGCATACAGATTATTGGTGTGTACATAAATATTTCTGACTAATAATACTTCCATAGTATTGTAATGTTAGTGGGTTTAACAAAATTTACTTCTAAGACTGATAACGACAAAAACTTTTTATTTACACTAATTATTAAAGAACTTTAAAACACTATTAAATTATCGCTAAACTTACGTTGTGAATTATTCTATTTATTTATACTACTGTTGATATATCACTATTCACTGCGCTATTTATTTCACTGCTATCACTGTCAATTTATTTCTGGATTCACTTCTGCAACGGTCAATTTATTTCTTCCTTTCTCGCCGATCGTCTCTCCCTTTAAATACTCCTTTGTTTACTTTCGAGAACCTTCTGGAAACACCCGGATAGTTTATTTTTTCTTTGAACTGTTTAACTGCTTTCCCAGAACGCAGGTACGACACACACATTTACAAATAGAGTGCACATAAAGAAAGGCGCCCGCGGCTAGCCGGCGAATCGATAAGCCGTTCACACACACGTGTGTCCGATTGCACACAAACACACTCGTGCTCGCTACATTTTTCTTTCAAACTATATCAATATTTTAATAAGCCTTTAATGGAAATGTTAACCAAATGAACATATGGAACATAATTTTCAGGCAAAGTTCGAAATCACTGAAATACATTGACAAAAATTAAGTAGTTGGATTTACTATCCTGTGTTAATTTTCTATTTAACATTTGGTAGTTGACTATTGTCTGCCAAATGGGAAATTAACACAACATGGGAAATCCACTATTTTCATTTTTGTTTTTCAGTGTGGGGGCCGAATGATGCCTTGTTGGAAAACTCAAGTCAACCTTTTAAATAGTACTACCTACTGCTCCCAGCAAGCAGAGAATTGGGTGACATTTGACCCACATTATTAACAAATTCTGCATTTGGAGCCTCACTTATGAGAGGGAGAGGAAAAGTTCCCAGGTTGGGGGCGCTTTTACTCACCTTAACCTAATCTATATAACTTACAATAAGTTTAGGTGAAGTAGGTATTCCTTGCTAAAGTGGGTTAAAGACAACTTGTCCATTCGGGCTAGGTACCACTAAAACGTGCATGACTTAAGCTTTCCAGAATGATATCACGCCACCCCTAATTCAGTGGATCTAAATCAAAAGATCTCCTTCTATGGAAACTTACTAGAATAGAACAGTGCTATCAAGAAAACACAATTCTTTTTACAATATTACAAGGGATTATGTGTTCATCAAGATCAGAGCGTACTAACCATTTTCGATTAAGAGGAACTCACCTTCAATTACCACAAGTAATTTTTGAAAACGGATACGTGTTTCGCCCAGTGTGGATATTATCAACACTTAAATTAAGTGAAACCCGTGACGTCTTTCGAAAATTCATGTCGTAATTAGGGATCAGAGTGTTTTTGCCTATTTATTCAGTCCATTCGCTTTTATCACTCTTCTTGATACACGTGCAAATCTATTTATTACGAAACCTTCTCAATTCGATGGTTTCTTATTTTCTTTTGATAAGTAAGCAAATTGACCAATACAATATACTATTACCAGAGATGTAACTTATCTAAGATACAAGTATCTAAAATACAGATACAAGATTTTTTTAGTAATAGATAACTGAAAGAGTTTAAATGCTTTCCTACAATAAAAAAAAATGTTTTCTAAATACACCTGTTTGCCAAATTCTGCCTCTGTGGAGCGATTCTTCCCATTTAGGGGCATGCTCATGAGGCCTCATCGAAGAAAAATGAGCTGAAAAATGACTGTTTGAAGAACTGGTTTTACTTAAGTTTCAATTAAAACCTTAAAAATATAATATTATGTTGTGTCACGTTTGCACGATCAACGCGATTTACATGTAAAAAAATAAACATTCATTAAAAAAATGGTTTTTTTTTATAAAAATTATTCAAAAAATACGTATTTTATATCTAGTATTTTAAATACCATTCCAGAAAGTTATTTGCATCTGGTATCTGAAATACTTAATTTAAAAGTATTTTGCATTTTGTATTCCAAATACTTTATTTAAAGTATCTTGTACATCATTGACTATTACATATTACATTGTCACATTATCAGCTTAGTCACTTTAGAGAAAACTAATTAGTAATCCAATAAGCATGAATTGTACCAGTTTAGGTAATAATAACGTTTATAAGGTGGAAGATCTAATTTATAATAAACTATCGGTTATTTGACATGACTTAACCAGCAGTAAATCAATAACGGTGATTCTGATAAAAAATCGAAGAGCATATGCACGTCATTCTTAGAATATGAAATCTTTCGACTGTCGGCTCATCCGGCTATACTTGAGATAGGAGTTACTATTTGCTGATAAACCCATAATACCATTTGTAACTCAAGAACTGCGAACTGAAAAAGATTGTTAAAGGTGTATATTTGGAGCGCGGCGCTGTACGGTTGCGAAACATGGACGGTGGGCGCGGCGGAAAAGAAAAGGTTAGAAGCCTTCGAAATGTGGTGTTACAGGCGAATGATGAGGATACCGTGGATAGAGAGGGTTAGAAATTAAGAGGTGTTAGAAGGAATAGGAGAACAGAGGACTCTATGGAAGTCAATAAGAAATAGGCGAGATAGGTTGGTAGGACACGCATGAAGGTCTAGTCAGAGACATATTAGATATAGAAACAGGAGTTAGAAGGGGCAGAGGTAGTCCTAGATTAGATTACTGTTCGCAAACAGTTAAGGATGTGGTTTGTTCTAGTTTTAGGGAAATGCAAAGATTAGTTCAGGATAGGAAAGAGTGGAGGTGCGTGTCCAACTAGTCTTAGGACTGATGACACGGTTATACTAATTTTGTTATCATTCGAATAAGACCTCATTCGACTATATTTGAGATTTTAAACTTTTGTTTTCTTGTCAACCCTTTAGAGTGCGATTTTCTCAAAATGCATTGTTAGTGCACTTCTATGTAACAGTCCGAATATGCTGTCAAAATTTAATTCAAACCAGCTCAATAGAGTGGTATAAATATACCTTCTTAATAGAGGTGCAACAAAATTGGCGTCTGTAGTCTGTAGTTCACTGAAACTTGACTTGTTTTTATCGAAGCTGTACACAAAATATTTAGCAAGGAACTTTAGAAATTCGCAGTGGGTGATAAATCAAAGAAAATGACAAATTCTGTTTGTTACTGAAGGAATTTCAAGTTAACGTTTCAAGGAGAAAGGACGGAAACGGAAATCACAAATGCTTGAGTTTTATTAATGTTAAATAATTAAATTTACAGGTTTGCATGTATTTTTCGAAAAGTGTTTCCACAAAGTATATTGATGAATAGACTATCACAAAAATTTTACTAATTCTAAGTGTTGTCATAAAAAAAGACGTGTTAGGGTACAAATTAAAAGAGATCTAGATGTTTTTATTTCAACACATGTGATATGTAAGAGTGTGAGTAGAAGGGTTCTATGTATGTTTTGGTGCTATCTGAAACCTTGTATCTCTTGTACCTAATAGCGGATTTCGCCAAGAAGTGATTTAAGATGCGTGCGAACGGGCTAGTGTGTGTGATGAATGCAAGAAACAGATACAGGTAATACGAAGTACGAAGTAGTTGTAAGAAAGTGAACTCTTATTCAATGTAGGTGTCCGTAAACTAATTCTTTGTTAATCCTTTTTAGAATCTTGCAGATTATAAAACAATAAAATAATGCTTCTACCTTCTTAACACCCCTATTAATTATTTTCACACATTATTGATTGAAATGTTAAATGATAATTATATAACACGGAAAAAAGCTGTTACCCTTTTGTTTCGTGCATGACAAATGATTAAACAAGTCATTAATTATATTTTTACTTGTTCTACCATTTTTCTTTCCCTTCACATTTGTGACTGATCGTGAGTCTTTTCGGGTTAAAAACACAATTTATTTCAGCAAGGCTGTATGGTTAAATATAAAATATTTATATATATGCGTTACACACGTTTTGGTCTTTTCACTTGCTTTAATTTAGATAATTACAAATAGTGGTGAATGAATATCCCTTTTAAAGATGATGAGTATTTATTGGAAATACAATTGTTTTAACGCTGTTGATTATTTAAAACTCTCATGTGAATATATCGATATTACTGAGTTTCCAAGAAATAAAAAGTGTTTTCGCTATTTAGTAGCAAAATTGGTCTTGGTATTGGTCTTGTGAAAATACAAGACCAAGACCAAGATCGACCGAACAAGACCAAGACTAAAACCAAGACCGAATATGCAAAACTAAGATCAAATACGCATGTGGACCTGTGGACTTATCAGTTAAACTATTTGAAGCATCTTTAATAGATATATTTTTTTCTTGGAACAAATCACTTTCAGTATTTGAAATTTTAAGTTTGCTTTACTAAATTTTGACGTGGGGTCTACAAGAATGTCCTTGGAGTAGGTGTTCTTTCTTCTTATGTCTGGATAGGACATGGTTGAAATATAGAGACAAAATAATTTCATTTCGATATTTTTTACTTCTTTGAAGTACCTTGTACCATTTTGTTCGCTAAAAGATGAATTCATGTGTTGGAGAGAGAGTCAATTTGTGCATTGGAGGAAGAGTAAGTTCTCAAGTTTTCATAACCCTCACAACTATTGATATATTTTCTTTAAAGGTCATGATAAGTTCGCATGTATGACACAAAACTTCGGCATTTTAGACAATTACTGTGTCGGTAAATAAAAAAATTTGTGCATAGAAGAATTATTATAAAGAAATGTAGATGAGCAACACCAAGATTTAACACGCAGGACCAAGACCAAGACCCAGACTACATTAACAAGACCATGACCAAGGCAAGACTAGAAGTATTTAAGCCTGACCAAGACCAAATAAGCAAGACCGAGACTAATACCAAGACTGGTGCAGACTTGATCTTGCTCATCACTATTTTTTAGACATCTGAAGAGTGTAGCTATTGATTATTGTTATTGATATTTTACTATTAGCCAAAAAGAAGAAAATTGAAACCACTCTTGAAAACAGTACGCTTTGGATTAAACAGAAAAAGTTCTCTACGTAATTTAATATAGTTCATTTCTATGA